AATATTCATTTCTGTATTGGGGAATGGCTCTTAGTCTTATAAATTTGAATTGGTTCTTTACATTTCTTGTATATGAAACCTTTATCAGTGAAACTTTCTAACTTTAATTATATTAGTTTTTTAAAAAAATTTAAATTTAAATTTAAAATTTTTTTGGTGAGGCAATCAGGGTTAAGTGACTTGCCCAGGATCACACAGCTAGGAAGTGTCAAGTGTCTGAGGTCAGATTTGAACTCAGGTCCTCCTAACTCCATGGCCGGTGCTCTATCTACTGCGCCACCTAGTTGCCCTTAATTATATTAGTTTTGTTTGTGCAAACCTTTTTAGATTTTATATCATCAAATTTGTCCATTTTACCTCCTCTAATCCACTCTATCCCTTATTTGGTCATGAACATTTCTCCTTTCCATAGATCTGAAAGATAATTTCTTCCTTGCTCTTTATACTTGCTTATGATGTCAAATTTTATTGGGTGAGCAGCACACCTTCCAATTTGTACATGACAAGATGATGCACAGCTATTTCTGTATCTGTCAACAATATTCCAGGTCTTTTATAAGTTTGATGCCAGAATGCTTCCTGGGTTTCCAAAATTTTCTGGTTTGTTTTTTTATTGGACACCCACATCTTCCAACCTCCACACAAAGGTTCTACTAAGGCAGCTATGGAAACCTTCTCTTAGTTGGATCATTCCAAGGCATCTATAGTTTCTACTCTTGCTAAATTGGGTAAATGAGTCCACGTAGATTTTCCCCTTTCACTTCCCATCCTCCAGTACCTGGACAGTAGACTGGCTACTTGATCAGCACCTCCTACTGAGTCTTTTGGGGATTTGGCATTGTACCTACATTCCCTTTTCTTTTGTTTTTCCATTTCCCACTTTCCTCTGCAGGAGTTGGGCCCGGTTATGCAACTCACCTTGGGGCTTCTCCAAGAGTCTTGAGATAAATGGAGTAAGTGTTAGAACCAGCTCCTTCCAGCTCAGGTACCTGCATTCAAGGAAGGACATGTGCTACAGGAGATGATTCCTGTAGATCCTAAGAAACACAGCTCCCAAGTTTCAGTCAGCCTTCTTCCCCTCTTTCTCACTCTAGTCTCCTGACAGAGTGAGGACAGGCTTAGGCAGAGATTCCCCTTTGCCTTTTCAGATTTTGTTTCCTTTTGTTTCCCCCTTGAAGCAGTTCTCCTATTCTTTTAAGGAAAATTTCATTCTTTTTGATAAAACAGAGATTAGAGGGGGACTAGCCCTTTCAACTTTTCCCCTAACAAGGGGACTAACCTGCCTTTTGTGCACATGTTACTTGGCATTAGAAGAAACACAAATGTAGTATAATCTCTGTAGGCCAGTGGAATATTCTAACTTTTCATGAAATTGTATGCTAAGAACCGTTAGGTCCTGTATACTAGAGCAGTATACACCCAAACCTTGTTAAATTCATGGTAATATTCTCAAGTTCTGAGCAAAGTGCCAAGAATAGCATTTAATGCACCCGTGTTGCCCCTCAGTTCATCACTGTCGCCATTATTTTCATCAGAACCATCAGCAGAAGTTATGAGACTTCCCATCCTAATGATTTTCTCCCTTAGCCTTCACATAGCACTTTGTTTTTAGAATTCTCTGATGAATTTATCGTGTCATACCATGTATCATAACTCTGTTGGTGTTTAATACCCCAAATAGGTTGCAAATTCCTTGAAAGCAGTGACTTTATAATAATGATGATGATGATAATAATAACTAGCATTTATATAGTGCTTTAAAATCTTCAAAGTACTATATGTGTGTGTGTTTGTGTGTATATATATTATTTTATTGTTCTTGCTTTGTCAATGAATCATATCCAGCCCATTTGGGATTTTCTTGGCAAAGATACTGGAGGGATTTGCCATTTCCTTCTCCAGCTCATTTTACAGATGAGGAAACTGAGGCAAACAGGGTTAAGTGACTTGCCCATAGTTATATAGCCAGTAAGTATCTGATGTTGAATTTGAACTCAAGCCTTTCTGACTCCAGGGCCGGTACTCTATCTACTGTGCCACCTAGCTGCCCATATATTTTATATAGAATGTAAAAAATATTATATAATATATAACATGTAAACCAATATGTAGAATATAGCAATTATCTTAATATAATCAATGCATAATATAATCTATAAAACATTATTTATATTACTTCATTTGATATTCAAGACAACCCTGTGAAGTTGGTAGTATTATTATCCCTATTTTACTGATAAAGAAGCTGAGGCCGAGAGAGATTAAGTGACTTGTCCAGGGACACTCAACTAGTGAGGTTATGAAGTATGATTTGAACTCTGATCTTCCTGACTCCAGGTCCAGGGCTTTATCCACTGTACAGCGTAGCTGTCCTAGTTATCTAAATTTTATAAACCTCTTCTACACTACCATTATCATAAACTTCCTTCTCATCATCCTCATCCTCATCCTAATCATCTCCATTACCTTTATCTGTCACTGTCAATAAAGAGATGACTATGAAAGTCTATCCCTTCAAAAGGTTTTATGTAACCATAGGCTGTGGATGTCTCTTTTTAATTTTAAGGAATTCTTTGTGTTAGAATCCTATACTTTTTGGAATACAAAGGGCCTTTTGAGATCATCTGGTCCTAACCCTCATTTTATACTTGAAGAAACAAAGATGAACTAGAGAGGTTGGGTGATTGCCCAAATTTGCACAGCTAGTTAGAGGTGGAACAGTCTTATAGAGGAAGCGCTTCAAGGAACTTCAGAGGCCTCTAGTTGAATTCCCCCATTTTATAAATGAGGAAATGAAGGAACAGAGAGATTAAGGCACTTGACCAGGGTCACACAGCCAGTAAGTAAGTGTGTGTGGGGCAGAATGTGAACCCAGGTCTTCTGACTTGTGTACCAGATACCAGACCTCAGATGCCATTTTGGAGATTGTGACTGTGACACTTTAGTGAATTTGCACTAAGCAGAGAGTAACACCTGGGGCTGAGGGAAAAGCCCTTGTCCTCATTGTGTATAATGTCATCACCATCACCAGAAAGCCTTTAGTAAGTGCCTTTTTGTGAGGGTTGCCCATCGGCATCAGTTGTAATTCTGTGCTTAAGTCCTCTCCTTCCCCAGGCCTTGTTCTAGCCAGTACTCAAGGTCAGGAGCCCTGGGGCTAGCACTGACTGCAAGCTGTCAGATTCACAGATTCTGGGGCCCACAGCTTCTCCCTACCAGCAACAAGTACCAGCTGCCATTGCCAGGACAATCCACTCTTGGTGGCATTTGTACAAGACAAGAACCATCACATTTGGATGGTAGAGAGGCAGGTAGAGATTGCACATTCTCCAGTGGACTTTACACCAATGATGGTATTATGTTTAATAGCCTGAAATATACATATGGTTCCTGACCTTAGGGAACTTACTATCTAAGGCAATCACATTGGTAAAGTTAAATTTTGAGAGCCAGAAGGATATGTGATAAAAAAGTATATTGAGCATGATTGTCTCTTGGTGTGTGTGTGTGTGTGTGTGTGTGTGTGTGTGTGTGTGTGTGTTTATGTGTCTGGGGTGAAGGTAAGTTGTTGTTCCTTTGTGTTTTTTTATATGGTAGGCTGAGAGGAAAACCAGTCCCTTCCAAAAACATCTTTTGGGGCTTCTCTCTTGGCCATGTATTGATAGAAAAACACATAAGATAATAGAGCTATAGCTTCATCACTTTGACAGGTCTGTCATATGCACAGGGGCTAGAGTGGTGGTGGTGGGGAGAGTTTGGTGCTTGCCCTTGAAGTGAAGGAGAGAACATAGCAGGGGGTCAGTCTTCTTTCCACCCTCCACATCACTTCTCCTGGGGATGAGCTGATTATAGTAATTCATAGAGAGGCAGGATGACATTTTGTTGGGGTAAAATGGCCCCAAAAATATCTCTCCAGCTTTCTCCAACTGAATGACTTCTCAGCCTCCAGAGAGGGAGCCTGCTGTCCAAATACCACTTTGGAATTACAAGTCACTTTTTTTTTTTGGCAGAGAAAACAACCAGGGTTTAGGAAGAGGACTTGGGAATGAAGCCTCCCTCATTAGAATGTACTCTCCTTGGTGTCAGGGACTCTTTTTGCCTTTCTTTGTATCCTTGGCACTTAGCACGTGACTGGCACATAGTAGGTGCTTAATAAGCACCTTTTGACTGATTTTCTTTAGGCCTATTCTTAACTCCTTCAATGGCCTAGAGAATGTCACTTAACACAGTTTTTCTTTTTGATATGGCCTAGGTAGGAGGCTATTCAACCAGGAGATCAGTGTTCTCTTAGAAGGTGTCAGTCAACATCCAGAAGGGTCTTTAGGACTATGAGTGGAGAAGTCTGTCTTGCCAACTCTTAGTGATCTGGGGTTAGATAAACCAATGTATGGGTTAGCAAGGTTTGTTGCTGTTGCCTTTGGTATTACTTTATTTTTGATAGAGAAGGAGTGGGAGGTGAAATGTAGAATAGTTTATTTTGCTTTTTTATTAGCAGCTCCTGTGAAATATTCATAGGGGAAGACATTGAAAGCATTGGCTAGATGTTGTTTTACTTCCTATGTCTGCTTCCCTTTCCCTCACTTTGCCCATTTCTACTATGTGGCCTTGGGGAAATCACTTCCTTTCTCTGGGCCTCAGTTCCCTCATCTGTAAAATGAAAGGCTTAGTGTAAATCATTTTATCTCCCATCCTATAATTACATGATAATAACTGTCATTTATATACAGTGCTTTACATTACATTATCTCCTTTCAGCCTCAGCTTAATGAGGTCAACAGCATCTCCATTTTACAGATGGGGAAACTGGGACTTAGAAAGGTGAAGGGCCTTGCTCGTGGTCACACCATAAGGGATGATAGGATTTGCACCAAGGCCACCCACTCTGTCTACTCTATCTTAGAGTTTATAGCTGACAGTTGTCTCTAAGAGATTCTTTATCCATTGCTTTAATAAGTAACTTAGGTTTGCCACTGACTAATTTGATTCTCCTCTTTTCTTTTCAGATAATTGCCTTTGATGAATTAAGGACCGATTTCAAGAGCCCCATAGACCAGTGTAACCCTGTTCATGCGGTGAGTAGGAACTAGGTGAGCTTGGAATGAGAGATGTTGCACAAGGTTATTCAAGCAACCTGTGCTAGAGGGAGTGGGAGGTAGGGGTAAGAGTGTTGGGCCGGGAATCAACAGGTCTGGCTTTTAAGAGTTGGTTTGTCATTGATTGTTTGTGTCCCTTTGGGCAATATACTTTCCTTTTCTTGACTTCAGTTTCCTCCTTTGTAAGATGAGAATTCAAAAATCAAGGCTCTGATTTTTAAGGTCAAATCTAGTCAATAAGCCAACGAGCACTTAGTAAGTACCTGCTGCATGCCAGGCACTGTGCTAAATGTTAGGGATACAAAAGAAAGGCAAAAACTAGTTTCTGCTCTCCAGGAGCTCATGGTTGAACGGAGGAGACAAAACACACCGTACAACAACTATGCACTATACAAAGAAGATATAAATTAGAGATAATCTCATAGGGAAGGTAGTAGCATTAAGGGGGATTTGCAAAAGGCTTCTTGCAGAAGGTTGGACTTTTGCTGGGATTTGAAGGGAGTTAGAGGACTCAGAAGGCAGAGATGAGGAGAGAGAACAATCCAGGCTTAGGGGAGGAGGGCAACCAGTGAAGATGCTTGGAGTTGGGAGAGGGAATGTCTTGTGAGGGACAGCAAGGAAGTCAGTATCACTAGAGGTGAGTAATGGGTAAAAAGACCAGAAAGGTAGAAAGGAGCCAGGTTATGAAGTGGGGAGAGAAGGGGACATATTTGAGATATGTTGTGAAGGTAGAATCAACAAGTTTTGGCAACAAAAATGAGGGTGAGAGAGAGTGAAGGGTCAAGGATGACTTCTAGGTCCCCAGTCTGGGTGACTGAGAGAATGATGGTGGTGCCTTCCACAGTAACAGGGAAGTTAGGAAAGCAGGGGAAGGTTTTGAGGGAAGGATGAATTCAGTTTTTGGACGAGTTGAATTTAATATCTCTTTCAGATCCTTCTATGAACCGATGACACATAGCCAAACCACTTTCAAACCAAATGTTACATATTAGCTTCCTGTTGCAGATTGGAACTATTTTTCATTTCCCTTTGAAGCACATACTCTGTGGACCTTTTGCTCAGTAAAATGTTGCTCATGACCAATTTCTCATCTTCCCTCTTTCCCCTTTGCTCTCTGTTGGTAATCCATGTCTGTAACAATTGATAGGGTTTCACTGATGCTCTCCATTTCCCTGAGTGTTGCTGCTCTAACACTAACACAGACCTGTGTCTGAGCCAGGTTTATAGAGGTGCCCTGGAATGAGAGAAAGGAGGCTTCCATTGAACAATTCTGATGAAATCTATTTCCGAGACAGACAGTCCATGCCTGAACTTTCATCATCCTAATCATATCAGGGCTGGAATTGAAAAGCAATACACTTAAAGTGTCCAGTGCCTTCCCCATTCCAACCTAGAAAAAAAAAAGTGTGTGTATGTGTGTGTAGGTGTAGGAGGTGAAGATGCTAGTCCAAATCATCAGCCTATTTCCCTCCTATGGAGGCAAAAGTCTTCGGTGAAATCCTGGTACCTTCCTGTGAAGGCAGGCCTCCTTGCCCAGTGGGAATTCACTTAGTTTTGGAGAACAAAAAAGCAGCTGGGGAGTGTTGCTTGCTAAGGTTGTGTAACACTGAAATTGGGGCTTGACTTAGCCTTCTGACAGCAACAAAAATTCCACTGGGCTCTTCGGTTATTATTTAGGTATCTTTGTCACTGCATAGCCTGGGGCATCTGAAAGGATAAATGGGGCCCCAGATGTCCGTGGGAAAGTGTCCTCAGTCAGAGATTAAATTAGTAGGGAGAATAAAGGGAGCTAGATTTTCTCAGTACTCCCTGGTGGTATATTGGATCCTGTGGGAGGCTCATTAACTCTTCTAAGCTACCAGGGTGCTTATGGGGGCAGGGTATCTGGGTGGCCTGAAAGGATTCATTAGAGCTTACTACTAGTGGGTAGTAACTGAGGCGTGGATGTTAATGATTAATAATAGTAATAGGAAAATAATAGTTAGTATTTGTATAGTGCTTTAAAGTTTGCAAAGCACTTTATGGGATTCAATTTGATCCTTGCAACAACCTTTTGAGACAGATGCTCTTATTATTCCCATTTTACAGATGAGGAAATTGAGGCTGAGTAAGGGAAAGTGACTTGGCCAGAGTCACAATGCACTGGTAGCATCTGGCTTATGTCATTGCCATAAAGTGATACAGTAAAGGTTGATGAGCTTCAGAGTGAATTTTGATAAGCCATTTTAGCTTCAAAGGTTTTCAGGGAAGTACTAAGTCTTAGACTCTGTGCCAAGCAGAGCCTGAGATAAGCACCTTCCCAGGTATGGAAGGAAGACTGCCCTGGTTTTTGCCTCCCCCCCACTTCCTTCTTTGTCTGCCTCTCCCCTCCCCATGAGATGGAAGGTTTTATTTTTCTTTTCCTTTCCTTTCTTTTATTTTCTCCTCCTCTTTCTTCCTCTTATTACTTTTTTGTCTTCCTTTTTCTTTCTTCTCCTCCTCCTCCTCCTCCTCCTCTTTCTTCTTATTCTTGTTCTTCTCCTTCTCCTTCTTCTTCTCCTTCTCCTCCTCCTCCTCCTCCTCCTTCTTCTCCTCCTTCTTCTTCTCCTTCTTCTTCTCCTCTTCCTTCTCCTCTTTTTCTCCTCCTCTTCTCCTTCCTCTTTTTCTTTCTTTACCTCTTCTTCTTCCTCTTCTTTTTCCCTCTCTTCCTTCTCCTTTATCTCAATTGGGAAGGGGAAGTAGGAGGGAGAGAAAATAAATATGAAAAATAAAAATAAATTAAATTAAAAAGGAAATGAAAACAAAAACCAGACCCTGAGCTCCTTCTCTTTGTTGTGAGTGTGCCTTAATTGTCTTGATGTTGATTATCTCCTCTGTATAAGAGGTAAGAAAAGGGGTCATTATATTCATGATTTAATTAAAGAACAGTTTTGGAAACTCTTTACTATCGAATCTATGGAAACCAAATCATTTTATATAAAACTAGCTGACATTTATATAGGCTTTAAGGCATACAAAGTACTTTACCCACATTATTTCATTTGCTTCTGACAGCGACCCTTTGAGGCAAATGCTACAGATATCATGCCTGTTTTATAGAGGAGGAAACAGGCTCACAGAGATTAAATCATTTGGCCATGGTGCTATAGCTAGTCAGCGTCAGAGACAGAATCTAAAACCAGGTATCTCCTGACTACTGGAGTCAGGCCCAATATTCTTTCTGCCATATCATTATGGAACTTACTGTGGCAAGTAGCACAGCGATACTCAAGATGGCATCTGGTATTATGAAACACTCCTGCAAGAAAATGAAGGGGCCACCCAGTGAGTGCATTATAACCAGTGTTGCCTGCTCTTCTGCCTCAGGGCCTCTTCACTTGACCATGAGCCAGACTTTGGAGATAAATTATGATCTCTTAAGAGACTCTCAGTCTGAGTCTGAGTCTGAGTCTATGGGTATTTAATTTAAAGGATAGATTGATTTGTTTCCCCCCTCCTACTTTTGAAGGTTAAAACTAAGAGGCAGGGGAACTTGCTCTGCATTAAAGACTAGCCTTGGCACACCCTGTTCTTTCTAATTTGTTGAGATAGTCAAATGGAAATTCCCCAAGGCTGGGCAGGCTGAAGGCCTTAGGAATCTTCAGAGACAAGTGATGTTGGCCCTGCAATTAGTTCCCAAGAGCGCATGCGGCGCCAGGGAGATAGACCTGGATTCTTCATTTTGGAGGAGGGTGGAGAGGCAGTCCACCATTGATACTGCAGGGCACTGGGAATCTGTTGGAAGCCTTGGGACTTAGCAGAAGACTTCATATATAGGCAGATTTAGATCTAGAAGGGCTGTAGTCTAGGGGTTCTTAATCTTCTTTTGGGACCCCTTTTGACAGAGCTAGTACAACCTATTGATCCCCTCTCAGAAGAATACTTTTAAATACATACAACAGAAAGGAAACCAATTAGTTTGAAGTATAGTTTTCAAAATATATTTCTAAAAAATCATGGATCCTCTGAAATCTATTCCTGGACCCATGAACCCCAGGTTAAGAAACCCTGATCTAGTCTAACCCCCTCATTTTTCAGTTGGGCAAACAGGACCACAGAATGAAAATGACTTGCTCAAGATCACAGAAGGAAAGAGGCAGCATGGTATAGTGGAGAGAGCACTGACTTTGGTGTTAAAGGGTCTGAGTTCAAATCCTACTTTTGTCACTTCTTCCCTGTGTGACTATGGGCAAGTCATGTAATTTTTCTGGACCTCAGTTTCCTCATATGTAAAACAAGAGGGGTTGGATTCTGTGGTCCCTTCCAGCTCTAAGCCTATGATATTTTTCTCTGAACTATATTTGAAGCAACAAATTCACTATCAGAGAAAACAACAGATAGAGAAAAATGTTTGCGGTCCTGGAACCTCCATGTTGAGGAAGCGCCCAGTCCAGTCATACATTACTCTCTAGACATTGCTTCCATGCTTTAGCCACCTTCTCCCTTTGCCTCTGTGGTTCCTTTCTCCTATTGGGGAATCTCTCCCAGAACCTCCATTTTGAGGAATGGCCTAGACCAGCCGCGCTTTATTCTTCCAACTTTGCCACCATGCAAGAGTTAGAGTACCTTCCTTCGAACCCTCTTCCCTGCTTTTTAGCTCTCCATTATGTGTTTTCTTCTCCCATTAGAATGTTGGCTCCTTGAGGTCAGGGACTGTCTTTATTTTTGCTTGTACTTTTATCCTTAGTGCTTAGCAAAGTACCTGGCACACAGTAATAAATGCTTAATAAATGCTTGTTAACTTGACTTGACTTGATCCATGTGGTATGGGCCACTGACCTTAAAAAAAATTCTTAATTGGGTATGTGGTTATGGGGATGGGCTTGGTTAAATATGATTCAGACATATTGCTTAAATCTAGGTGTGGTTTGGGTGTGACTTCAATCTGGGAGAACTCCGAAGTCATCGGGGGACCTGGGTTCAAATCCTGACTTTGCCATTTACCATTCTGACCATGGCAAGTTACTTAACCTTACTAGGTACCCTTTTTTTTTTTTTGAGGGGGGTGTCAAATGGCTTTTTCCCCTGGTACATGCTAACTACATGTGATATTTCAGGAGAACTCTAACCTCACTCTTCCCTTTCTTTCTTCTGTGCCCTTTCACAGAGAGAACGGCTGAGAAACATCGAACGTATCTGCTTCCTTTTGAGAAAAGTGAGTAAGTGCAGGACATCGGTGGCTCTGATTGTGAGATTCACACGGGGCGGGCAAGATGGTGGATATTTAGAACAAACATACCTTGCAACCTGCCAAGTTCAGGCTCTGTCTCCCAAAGGGCTAAGCCAGGGCCTTATAATCAGCACTTGGGAAATCTTGAGAGACAAAGGGAATCTAATTAGAAGGGGGTAGCCATCAATCGAAGTGTCAGGGTAATACCGGATATTTGCAAATGCCTTGGGGCTGGGTTTAATAACCTTTTTTTCCTTTGTGTGGTGACGGATGGTGGTGCAACTGACTTTGCCTCACTCTGCTGTTGTAGATATCTCAGTGTCAAGTTTGTGCTAAAAAAAGGCCTGTTTCCCCCTAGAGATTCCATGATTAGAAGATGGGGTTTTTTTGTGTGTGTTTATAACTTGTCACTGTATTCAAGAAATTAATTGGCAGTTTCTTTGGGGACACAAGATGTGATTAAGGTGTAACACAATTGCTTCTCTTTTTGGGGTTGCTGTGCCATTTAAAGAAGGCTATTCTAGGTTATGGGATTTTAGAACTGATGAGAATTGGGAGTTGCCTGCTACAAAACTTAGTAAATGTGTTTATGCCAGTAAATGATCATGTACATGCATGTATAGCCTTTACATGGTGGTTGGAACTTTCAACTTGGAAGTACTTCTAAACCTTGGTGGGAAACAACAGTGCCTGATAGATGCCTAATGTGCCAATTAAGAATGAGGCTATGCCTTCAGTTAAAGGGGCTGAGAAAAGTGGTATAGTTAGTAGAAAGAGTTCTGGATGAGGAATTGGGGTTTTGGGTTCAAATCCTGCTTGCCATTTACTGCTTTGACCTTGACAAATCACTTCTCCTTTTTGGGCTTTGGTTTCCTCTCCTGTAAAATGAGTAGGTTGATCTAGAAGATCTTTAAGGTCCCTTCTCAATCTAAATTTATGATTCCAAAAGTATTCAATAGGTCCAACAACTAGCTCCTGGAGCTTCATACCAAAGGACAATGTGAAAGGCACTATTGGTTATAAGGAAAGAGATTGGTCAGCAAATATTTAATTGAACCCTACTAGGAATGAAGGAGAGGACAGTTGTCTATGGAAGGGAAGAATTTGAAAATTTATTAATTTTTCTTTCTCCTTACTTCAAATTGATAAGATAATTGTGGTTCCTACAACTGAAGGTACTTTGTCTATTGGTGAACCATGAACATAAATAAATGAAACTGATTGGCATTTCCTTAATGATGTTTGAATTCTATATTTTCCATTTCATAGTGAAGGTAGGCTAAATCAAGTCATTCAGATGGATGTACTTCCAATCAAGGCATAAAGTATGACCCGAAGAACTCATAACAAGGAGAGGCAATGTGGTTAAGTACTGTGCTGATTATTTTTCATTTTCCTTTTATTCAATTTTATTATGCCATTTGTCCTGGAACATTTGGTTAACTGATGTTTGTTTCTTCTGACTATTAACTTCACCTGGCTAAAACCTGACTCATGGAATGATAAAATTAAGGGAAGACTTTTTGACATTCCTCAGATAAGAAGCCAAAGGGGAGTTTGAGCTTCCCAAAGTGCCTTAGCTATTTGTGGAAGGATTCTTCTGGCTCTGAGACATTGGAAACAATGTATGAAGTTATGATGCTGTTTAAGTTTGTTCAAATTTACGGCTTAAGAAAATGTATTAGATTGCTATGTGTCAAAAATTATTTGTCTCTGATGTTATTTTGTCTGTAAAAAGCATCATTAGAATCCTAATCTTTGGGGTTATTTTTCTACCTCTTGAACCTGTTAAGCATTTTAAACCTAGGTTTTTAACCTCTATAATTTCTCTGTTGTGGTACATTTATTCGGCAGCAGTAACCTACTACATGAACTCAAAGAGGAGATACTTCTCTCCTAACAGAACAAAAAGCATTGGCTTTAAAATGTCAGGACACGGATTTGAATCCCAGTTCTGCCACTTAGGATTATAGATTTAGATTTGGAAGGGACCTTGGGGGGTATGGAGTCTAGAGGTATCAAACGCTGGTCCGCATATGGCCTGCAGCACTCCCCATGAGGCCTGAGCCAGGTTAAAATGCAATAGGGAAATATTTAATAAAATAAAATATAGAAATACAATAAAATAAAGATAATAAAATATTTTAAAACTAAGTCAGCATGTGGAGATCAGCACACTGGCTAGAGTGCTGGGCCTAGAGTCAGGAAGACCTGAATTCAAATTCAGTCACAGACACTTACTAGCTATGTGATTATGGGCAAGTCACTTACCCTGTTTGCCTCAGTTTCCTCATCTATAAACTGAGCTGGAGAAGGAAATGGCAAACCACTCCAGTATCTTTGCCAAGAAAACTCCAAATGGAGTCATGTAGAGTCAGATGTGATTGAAAAAGACACTGCTTGACCAAGAATTGGAAATTGAGGGGATGCCCATCAATTGGAGAATGGCTGAACAAGTTATGATACATGAATGTAATGGAATACTGTTGTGCTATAAGAAATGATGAGCAGGTAGACTTCAGAAAAGCCTGGAAAAACTTATATGAACTGATGCTGAGTGAAGTGAGCAGAACCAGGAGAACATTGTACATAGTAACAGCCACATTGTACAATGACTGACTTTGGTGGACTTAGCTGTTCTCAGCAATGCAAGGATCTAAGACAATTCCAAAAGACTCACAATGGAAAAAGTTATCCACATCCAGAGAAAGAACTATGGAATCTAAATGTAGATGGAAGTATACAATTTGCTTTCCTTTTCTTTTGTTGTTTTGTTTTGATTCTTCTTTCTTGTGGTTCCTCCCATTGGTTCTAATTCTTCTCTACATCATGACTAATGTGAAAATATGTTTAATATGAACATATAAATAGAGCCTATATCAGATTGCACACTGTCTTGGGAAGGGGGTAAGAGAGGGAGGGGGAGAAAATTTGAAACTCAAAATCTTGTGGAAGTGAATGCTGAAAACTAAAAATTAATAAATAAATTGTTTAATTAAAAAAAAGAAAAAAACAACGCCACCACCACCAGTGGTGTGTCCAGTGTGTGGACTGCAAGGATCCTTATACGCAGATTAGAGACCCTGTTTCTATTAAAGTTTCACACCATTGATCCAGTCCAATCCTCTCATTTTACAGTTGAGGAAACTGAGGTCCAGAATGGTTAAGTTCCTCCTGGAACCTCCATTTTGAGAAAATGCTTGGGACAACCATGCTTACTACTCCATTTTGCTTTCATATCCTTTCTCAACTTTTTCACCATGTCCCTGCTTGGGTTTTCTTCTCTTCTCAAATTCCCTTTTCACAATTCCTCTCCTCCCTTCCTTTCCTCTCTTTCTCCCTTTCTTCTTTCCTTCCTTTCTCTCTCTCTTCTCCCTCCCTCCCCATATCTTTCCTTTTTCTCTATTTCTGTTTCTGTCTCTCTTCCCCCCCTTACCTCTTCTCTCCTCCCTCTCCCTTTCTTTTCCTCTCTTCTTTCCTTCCTCCTTCCCTCCTCTCATTAAAATATTAGCTTCTTGAGGGCAAAGACTTTCTTTTTTCGCTTGAATTTGTATTCCCAGTCCTGTATAGCACAGTGCTTGGCACACAGTAAGCACTTAATAAATGTTTATTGACTTAAGTGACTTTCCAAGATCAAGATAGCAGATGGCAGTGTCAGAATTTAAAGTGACTTTAGAAATCATGTAGTTAGGTCGTCTGATTTTAAAGATGAGGAAACTGAAGCCCAGAGAGGTCAAGTGACTTGCCCAAACTCACACTCCTTGGAAGTGGTAGAGTTGGGATTTGAACTAGGCTCTCAGATTTCATATCCAGGACTCTTTCCATTGTATCACATTGCCTCTCACTTTTGTTACTTTGCCTCTATGGGTCTCTTTTCTTCACGTGTAAAATAAAGGCTTTGAACTCGATAATTCTTAATGTCCTTTCCATCTTTAAATCCTATGATTTGGAATTAGGTATATACCAGAGAGTCATTATAATTTTGCTAACGGTTCTCCCCTAGAGAGGTGCTTGGCATCACTCTCCCTTTTCTTCTAACCCCTTATTATCTCATTCTTTAGGTCTGACACACAACTCAATATAATAGCTTCTGGGCAAAGTAAAATTAAACCAGTTATCCCAAATCCTGTATTAGTTTTCTTATTGGCACTCAGAATGGGTTCCCCTTCCGCATTCTCTGGCAGGAGGCAGAAGGAATGAGGAAGGCAGAGTCACAGCCCAGGTCAACCGGGATATTTGCTTTGCAGTAATAATCCTGTTGCTCCATCATTTATTTGCTGCTCCCAGTTTGAATGCACATTGCTAATGGTTGCTGTCTGCTTCCTAGCCCTGAGAGTGCTTTATTTTGAGGTCCACATTCTGGGTTGTGAATTTAGTAGGGGCCCAGCCATCATGTATGTATTTATATACAGTTTGCAATACCTATGGAGTTAACAGATTGAGTCTTAGGCAGTTTTTGAGAAAAAAACTTTTTTGATAATCTTTTTCTATTTTAGATTTATTTTCATTCACCCATACTCACTCCATTTTTCTCTAGGTCCCTTCTGCCCCCTTCCTTCCCCCTGCTGCTGTCCATGGTTCTAAACTGGCCACCTTTTCCTCCCGTCTAGCATTAGCCCAGGGAGTTGGCACTTATCTCTTGCCTAAAGCCAATTCTTCACTCCATCCCTTCTCTAACCACAATTCCAAGCACACATTCAGTATATGCAGTAAGGTAAGGTGTCCTGAGCCTAAATACCTCTACCTTGAAAGTCCCTTCTTCTTTCTTAAGGGAAATGAAGGAAGTGGCGTGAAGGACAACGGGCTATAGCAGAAAGAGGAACAAGCTGGATAGAGTTGAACCTTAGGTCTACCACTTATAGCTTCTATGACCTTGAGGAAGTCCCTTAATCTTCTTAATTAATGGGTCTTAATCTTCTCCTCTATAAAATGAAGGTACTTAACTAAGGTCCCTTTCAACTTCAAAGCCTACATGATCATCATGA